AGTGCTGGCAACTGTACTCATAGCTCTAATGGACACTGTCTAGAACTCCTGCAGCTGGCTGACTCTGCCTTCCCAAAAGCCTGCCAGCCAGTCCTGCCTCTTCCCCTCCCTGCAGTCCACCCCAGACCCAGTCTTGAGCAAGTAAAGACTGTTGAATCCTAAGAGCCAGCAACTGCCTTTCTTCCAGCTCTGAGCCTTGAACCCAGGTACTCTGACCTCTTCCTCCTGAGTCAGGGGCCTAAACTACAGCAAATACTGGGTGCAGGGTATTGTGGAAGCCCTGGGAGCAGTGCCCAGCTGAATGGCACTGCCCAGACCTTCACTGTGACCCCTGCCCTGCTCCTATCCTGGCAAATCTTTCTTATATAAAGTCAGGGAGATCCACTGAAAAACAGAATACAGAAATCGCCAGGATAACCGGCCAGTCCCAAGTTACACCTTACAAACTCTCTTCTCCCATCCCTGATGTTGTAGCTTTACCGCAACAGAAATATACAAGAGCTCTTTGACCTAAAATTGCATCACAAATCTGCACAAGTAAAAAGGCTGCCTGCATTTCACCAGGTAAGCAGTTCAAGTGCCAGACCAGGAACACTGCAACTGGGACTTGAACACAGTTTAGATGCTCTCTCAGATCTGAGAAAAGGTGTGTGGGGAAAGTAGTTAGCTATCCGAATTGTAAAAATGGTATTTCCTAGTTCATACATTTTAGGCCAGTGATTTAAAGGGGAATATGGATGCACAAAAGTGACAGGAGAAATAACCGCGCTAGCCCCGGCTCAGCAGTTCCCCTTCCGGATTGCTGTGCACCTGAATGCAGCGATGGGTAAGAGTCGATGCAGACAGCACACCCATCCTCACAACAGTGTGCTGTGCTGCAGGGAGATCCTTTGAGAAGGTAGAACGAGGACGACTGTCCACAGCAGTAACCAACAAAAACAAACTTTTCAAAAACCTGGGAAGTTAACAGAGGTTTCTAACAGCCAACCCCCTGGGATGTCTGCTGAAGAACGGCTGAGGAGTAGGATGCAGTTCACTGGCAGAACACACACATGCCATGTGCAAGGCCTTAGCACTGCACACACAAACACAACTGTTTCTGGTAGTGTAGACCTGGGATCCCAGTGTTCAAGAGGCTGCAACAGGGGCCCTTGAGTCCCAGGTCAGCCTGAGGTATATGTAATAAGACCTGTACAAAAACCAAAACCCTGAAAACAGAAGCAAGTTCTAGCCCAATTCTGCCTGACTTCCATGTGTGTTTGGTCATCTTTGGTTTGGACACTCCTACCATCCTCATCAGGGAAAGTGTCCCAAGCATGGTTAGCAGCGGAAATCTCTACCATCTTACACAGTACACAGCTGCCCAAACAAAACAATTTTTACAAGGAGCCATCAATCCCAGGCCTGTTCTAAATGAAAAACACTAGAAACTGAATGTTGTGTGCCAACAAGGAAACTCTTACAAGACAAGTCACAATTCAGAGAGCAGTAGCTTGTGCTTGGAGCTCTAGGATCCTGTGGAGGCAGGCACTTTGGACTTAGGAGAGAAATAAGTATCTATTTTGTTTACAACCAAAGGAAAGGTTACAAAGAACTAAATACTCATTTCCACAACACAGAAATAGAGGAAATAGAAAGCAGCGGGTAAAAGTTCACCCCATCAACAACACTGGTGACCGAGAGCAGATCGAGAGACTCCTCAGGCTGCAGAAACAAGGGGAGAGATTAAACAGCCTACACAGTGGGCAGGAAACAGCTACACAGACAGGATGAAGGGAAGAAGTGGGAAAGGTGCACCGTAGAAGCAGTCATAGAAGCAGCCATCCGGAGGGGAGAGCTGAGTGGCTACACTGTTGCCAGCGGAGGGACAAGGGCCCATCCATTAGGAAGAGATGGCAAGTATAAAAGAGCTTAACACCTGCCCCCGAATACATGAAGCTAAAACTATCAGAATGAGGGCAACAGAGACAACAGCTGAAGACTTTAACATCCCCCTTCAAAGAACAGATAAGGAGGCTGGCCAGCAACGGGGAGGGGGAAGTCTGCAGGCATCAGCCTCCTGAGCAGACAGGACAGAACTCAATAGTGGCTGGTTCCCTGGCAGACAGGTCAGTGTGCTTTAGGACGCCTTGGCATCATACGAAGTAGTCTTCAGTAAGAACAAAAATCACTAACATAAGGGCTGTCTTATGTTTATGGAAATCAAACAACAAATGTCTAATCAACCGAGAAAAGAATAACGGAGAAATGAGAAAGTTCTTGGAAATTTTAAACAAGTTCTGGGTGTGGCAGCATATGCCTTGAATCCCAGTGCTTGAGAGAGGCAGGAAGATGGGGGTTTAAGCTTAGCCTGGGTAAGACCCTGTCTCAAAAACAAAACAAAAAAATTTTAATTGTTTTTATTAAGCTATATATTTTTCTATGCTCTCTTCTCTTCCTCCCCCCTCCCCTTGATCCCCATGTTCCCAATTTACTCAGATCTCAAAACAAAAATTTAAAAGACAAAAACACAACATGAAAAAATTTAAAAGATCAATATAAAATGCTTAGATCAAAACTAACCTCTATAAATATACCTCTACTAAATAAAAGATTTTTAAATCAATAAGCTAATTGTTTCTAACTTAAGATATATGAAAAGGAACAGAGAATCATGTCCAAAACAATCCAAAAGAAATAATTAAAATCTGAGTGGAAACTTATAAAATAAAAACATGGAAAAAATCATAACATGAAACCAGGCAGTAGTTGTGTATGCCCTTAAACCCAGCACTCAGGAGGAGAGGCATGCAGATCTCTATGAGTTCGAGGCCAGCCTGGTCTACAGAGTGAGTTCCACCACCACCGCTCAGCTAGTTCAATACATGAACAGCATATATGATACATCGCATCTGTCTGGACAATCATATGATCAATTCAGTAAAGACAGGGAAAGCATGTAGCAGTGAGGCAAAAGCATTTTATAAAATTGAACCTTTTAATATAAAACACTCAAGAACACACACAAAAGTTGACTCTACACATAGGGACTAAAACTATATGACTCTCACTGGCCCTGAGTTGTAGTAAATGTCTTTAATCTCAGCACTAGGGACACAAAGGCAGGTAGAGCTCTGTGAGTGTCAGGTCAGCCAGTGCTACATAGTGAGACCCTGTTGCAAAGCAAAGCAAAACAAACAAGCCAAAAAAAAAAAAAAAAAGACAAAAATCAGCTCTCAGAAAAAAGTAGTAAATCTCTGTGGCTTGAAGTTAGGCAGTGGTTTCTTTGAAATGATACCCAAACCATAAGCAACAAAAGGAAATAATAAAACAACTTCATTAAATTATAAAGAAAAAACATGATAAAGAGGATCTACAAAAATCCACAGTGAATATCACACTCAGCGCTTGTGTGGGAGGTCAGGAGCCAGATGGAACTCTCAGTGCTCCTCAGATCCACAGGACACAGGACTGGAGGGGCTGACCGGAGCCATTCGGCACAAGAGGGGGAGGGAGAAGGAACTCTGTATCTGGAAAGAACATCTCTGTTTATGGATACCAGGACTGTACATAGCGAATTCTAAGGAACACACAGAAATACACATCGCTATTAGAACAGAAAAGCTTCACAAAGTGGCAGGATACACTATCAAAATAAAAAATCAACTGTATTTCTATACATTAGCAACAAATAATCTAAACACAGAACTTAGAAAATCATATTTATAAAAGCATTAGAGTACTTAGGGATTTTTTTTTAAAAAATAAGTGACCTATATAAAAACTGTAAAACACTGAAAATAACTCAATTAAATGAAATGCTATCAGAAGTTCATGAATCATAAGTTTTAGTATTAGGAGGTCACAATTTCCCAAAGTGATATCAAATTGAAAAAAAATCTCTGTCAAAATTTTACCTCCTGGGAAATAGGGCTCCCTGAAAAATTGATCCTAAAATTCACTTGGAAATATATGGACTCAGAAAAGTCAAATCTAGGAACACAGAGCAGGAATGCTCACACCTGTCCAACCCGAACTTTACCATCCATGTAGCTACAGTAATTTAGGACCACAGTGCTGCAGCTGTCAGTGGGAGAAGGAACTGGAGCCCACAAATAAACCACACATCCGCGTTCAGGTAAATGACAGTTTGACAGTTTGTCACAAGCTAGAGTCATCAGAGAGGAGGGAGCCTCCATTGAGAAAATGCCTACATAAGACCGTAGGGTAAGCTTCTATTTCTTAACTAATGATTGACTGATGGAGGAGAACCTAGCCCAATTGTGGGTGGTGCTATCCCTGGACTGATGGTCCTAGGTTCTATACGAAAGCAGGCTGAGCAAGCCAATAAGCAGCCCCCCTTCAAGGCCTCTACAACAGCTCCTGTCTCCAGGCTCCTGCCCTATGTGAGTTCCTGTCCTGACTCCCTTTGATGATGAACTCTAATGCTGAACTTGCTTTGGTCCTGGTGTTTCACCACAGCTAGAGGAACCCTAAGGCAGTGGCCAGTGATCACAATGGTAGCAATCAAATGATGAGTTAAAGGGAAAGGCGCAAGTCCTGAACACAAACAGTGGAGTTGGCCCAGCTCACAGGACCCACAAAACTTGATTCAAAATGGGTCAGAACGTTACAAGTGTGAGCTAAAACTAAGCAATCCTCAGGAGAGCCAGGTGTGCTGCCTCACTCCTTAATCACAGGACCCGGGAGGTAGAGGAACGCAGAGCTGTTAGGTGGAGGCCAGCCTGGTCTACATAGTGAGTTCCAGTACAGCCAGGGCTGTGTAGAAAGACCCTGTCTCAAAATGCCAGGTGGTGGCGGGCACGCCTTTAATCCCAGCACTTGGGAGGCGGCAGGTGGATCTCTGTGAGTTTGAGGCCAGCCTGGTCTACAAGAGCTAGTTCCAGGACAGGCTCAAAAGCTACAGAGAAACTTGAAATTGAGATATATGTGTGTGTGTATTATATTTAGATATAAAATATACATATATGTTAGAAATGATACCAATGGTACAAATGACAAAAATTATATAAATAAATTTTATTAAAATGAAAAACTTTAGGGCTAGTGAGATGGTTCAGTGAGTAAAGGCACCTGCTGTTAAGCCTTCTGACCTGATCACTCCCCAGAATCCATATAGTGTAAGAAGAGAATGGACTTTTGAAGGCTGTCTTCTGACCTCCTTACATACGTGTACATACATACACACACACACACACACACACACACACACTGTAACTTAAGGAGATTAAGAACTTTAAAGGGCACTATGAAAGTGAAAAGACAAGGAGAAAATATTCGCAAATTATATAGGGATGCAATGTTTAAAATATCTACAAAAACTCCTACAAGACAACCCAACTGAAAACGAGAAGTTATTTGAGCAGATACAAGTGGCCAATAAACAAAATGAAAAGCAAAACCATAAGGTATACTTTTCACTAATATTGCTAACATTAAAAAAGAAAAATGATGGCCGGGCTGTGGTGGCACACACCTTTAATCCCAGTACTAGGGAGGCCAGGCTGGTCTACAAAGTGATTTCTGGCACAGGCTCCAAAGAAAAAGAAAAGGAAAGAAGGAAGGACGGAGGAAGGGAGGGAGGGAGGGAGGGAGGGAGGGAGGGAAGGAAGGATGTGAGGCTAGATACAAGATGACTCAGCAGTTAAGAACACTGGCTGTTCTTCCAGAGATCTCAGATTCAATTCCCAGCACCCACAAAACAGTTAATAACTGTAACTTCCAGGGGATCTGACCCCTTCTTCTAGCCTCTGTAGAACCAGGATAAACATGGTGCACACATACATGTAGGTAAAACACCCATAACATAAAAGAATTCTTTTAAAAAGAAGTCTGCATGGTGTTTTGCTTGCACACGGGCACCATATGCGCGTCCTGTCCACTTCTAGAGTCTCTACCTTAATGGAGAGCGGGTTGAAGCGCTCGATCCCTTACAGTTCTCTGAACTCCACTGGTATTTGTTGTGAGGTTTCCCTGGTCAACTCTAACTCTATCCATTTGAATCTTATCTTTGCTTCTTTTGGTTAGTTGGGGCAAGGATTTTCTGATAGCTTGTTAAAGAATCAGCTTTAGGATCATTAAATTTTTGTATTGTTTTCTTTTGATTTCATTAATTTATGTTGTTTTTATTATTTATTCCTCTCTATTGGATTTGGGTTCTTGTTTTTCCAAATCGTTGAATTACATCAGGAAGACATTTATGTTTTTTTCTCATTTCTTTGTGGGGAGACATTGAGACAGGGTCTCTCTGTGTAGACCTGGCTCTCCTGGAACTCACTCTGTAGAGCAGGCTGGCCTAGAACTCAGAAATCTGTCTCCCTCTCTCTCCCAAGTCCTTGTATTAAAGGGGTGTGCCACCACCTGCTGGCCTATGCCATCTGTTTTAGAGAAGTGTTCATGGCCTGCTTAGTAGAATGTATATTCTTTAGTGTCTGGGTGAGACCTTCTGTACATATCTGTTAGTTCCATTTGATGTATGATATCACTTAATTCTCATGTTTGTTTTCATCCAGGTGACCTGTCTACTGGACAAAGTGGGGTGATGAAATCACTCACTAATACTGAACTAGAGTAATCTGTGTCTTTAAGTTCAACAGTATATTTCTTACGAAATTGGGTGTGCCAGAGTTTGGTGCATACAGAACTGTAGTGTATTCTTGATCAACTGTCTTCTTGATTAGAATGAAGTGTCCTTCTTAATCTCTTTTGATTAATTTTAGTCTGAAATATATATCTTTTTCAAGACAGGGTTTCTTTGTGTAGCCCTGGCTGTCCTGGAAATCACCAAGTAGACCAGACTGGCCTTGAACTCATGGAGATCCACCTCTGCCTCCCAAGTGCTAGGATTAATAGCATGTGCCATCACCATTGTTATTTTGTCAGATATTAAAACAGCAGTACTGACCTGTCAAGATGGCACATGGCTTTAATTCCACCACTTGGAAGGCAGAAGCAGGCAGATCTCTGAGTTCAAGGTCCACCTGGTTTGTACAGCAGACCAGGACCACACAGCGAGACACCGTCTTAGAACAACAAAAAGGCCACTGCTCCCATTCGTTCAGAGCACTTTTTCCATCCTTTACTTGAAGGTGAGTTCTTTTTCCTTTTTCTTTTTTTCTCTCTTTCTCTCTCTTTTTTTGAGACAGGGCTTTTCTGTAGCTTTGGGGCCTGTCCTGAAACTAGATCTTGTAGACCAGGCTGGCCTCAAACCCACAGAGATCCGCCTGCCTCTGCCTGGGATTAAAGGCGTGCGCCACCACCGCCCACCAGAGGTGAGTTCTTAATCTAGTGAACTACCCAGCTCTTGGCTGGGGAGCTGAGGCGTTAGAGTCATCGTTTAAAGTGCTGGTTACTGTTGTTTTGCTTTTTGTGTTCTTCGCCCTATTTTGTATTTCAGTGATTACAGCTTCACTTATTTTCCTTCTGTAGTCTCTTAACTATGCGTATTCCTCTCTTCAGTCCAAAGTATTACTTCTAGAATTCTCTGTAAGGCTGGCTTGGTGGACATGAAGTATTAGTATGTATTACAACATGGAAGAACCTTAAAATAAAGGGAAAGAAGCTAGAAACAAAAGGTGCTGGACTCAGCCAGGAGTGGTGGCACATGGCCTTACTCCTTTAATCCCAGTACTCAAGTGGTGGAGGTAGGAGGACCCCTGTGAGTCTGAGGCCAGCCTGGTCTACATCTGAGCTCCAGGAATGTCAGAACTACATGAAGAGACCACATCTCAAAAAAAAAAAAAAGCAGAAACAAAAGGTGACAGACCCCATTATTCTAGAAAACACAAATCCTGAAACAGAAAGGGGGTTCAGGGGTGGGGTAGGCAGGCAATTCATCCTAGGGTGATAAGGTTCTGGGAGCAGATAGTGTCACTGATTACACATCTGTGTCTGTACTAGGCAACCTGATATGTGAGTTAGGGTTCAACAGAGCCATTCCACAGAGCTCTGTGCTAAGAGTTGTGCATCTGTATTTTTTTTCTTTTTTTTATTTATTTATTATGTATACAATATATTCTGTCTGTGTGTATGCCTGCAAGAGCACCAGACCTCATTACAGATGGTTGTAAGCCACCATGTGGTTGCTGGGAATCGAACTCTGGTCCTTTGGAAGAGCAGGCAATGCTCTTAACCTCTGAGCCATCTCTCCAGCTCCCTGTGCATCTGTATTAAACAGTGTGTGCATGAAAGGGAAGTTTTCTAAAGCCGTCATAAGTACATAGCCCTAATGGAGACACACTTATGCCCAAGGCCTGACCTGCAACCAGATGGGGTACCTGCCTTGACCCCTGAACTCCAATTCTGTAGGCTCTGCTGAGGGGCTCCCGCCCCCAGAAACACACCCTCCTTATGAAGTCTTCTGGCCTGTAACTGACTACGTATACTCGGCTAGTTTTTAACCTTGTGTTGATTCTCCGCTCTGGCTCCGAAGTGCTAGGATGACAGGTGTACACCACCTCATACAGCTTTTTGCTGCTTTTCAAGCAGCCTTTCCAATCCACACTGGCCTGGAACTCACAGTCCTGCTTATGACCCCAAGTGCTGGGGTTACAGGTGTGGTGCCATATGCATGGTTAAAATTGTTGGACCCATATTCTGGCCTTACCACTAAGCTACATTCCCTGGCCTCCTGTAGAGCACCCTAATGTATCATTTTCCATTGTTACTTACACTCATAAAAGACAAATTCTGATTTACCCAGACCTAACCCTATTCACCTATCCTAGTAAGATGAAGGCCAAAGGGGACCACAGCACATCCCCCACACCCTTCAATTCAGTGCATAATTAAACTGGTTCGCAAACTTCTCATGTTTCTTCTGGTCCATCTGGTTCATGGCAGCAACTACTCTCTGCACGGCTGCCCTGTGGAGAGAGCAGAGTAAGAGACGACTACGGATGTGAGCCCTGGGGTCCTGGGTTGACCTGCTTCAGTGGGCATTAGACGTCTGGAAGGTGGGGCTCACCAGTCTCAGCTACAACCCACCATGGGCTTTGGCTGTGTCTCCCAGCCCTGAAGGCAATTGAAAGAGCACACTTGCTAACCCCAGACTGACCTCAGGAGGAAGGCATGGTGAACATGGGCTGAGTCCAGAGGTAGAGAACTCAGTAGAAGGAGAAAAAGGAGAAAGCAGGAAGCCCATGTGGCCCAGCCTCCACCCCACCCAAGGCAAACCAAGAGCTTACTGACTAGTCCTGTGATAAAGTATCTAAACCCAGCAGTGTGGGACTCTATGTTTGTCTTCCCTGAGGTCAATCCTGTAACATCAGAGTGCAGAGCAGAGTTACCCTCTTGTGAGCATGGTACTAACCCAGGACACAGCAAAGCCAGCATCTGGCCTTTTAGGACCATTTGGCTGCCACCAGCTCTACTTTCAGAGAGGTGGCTATGGACTCCTAGGAAGAATACTCAAGGTACCAGCTGCAGCTCTATAACCAACCAGCTCTTTGCAGGGCTGGAGGTCACTGTGATGGCGAATTCTGGTTATCACCATGACTAATACAATCACTAACTCAGGTGGCTCTCCCCCAACATATCCTAGACCAAAGCCCGAGGCCTTGGGCCAGTGACAAGTTCTTACTTGGCAAAGACCTTCTTCTCCAGGCGGGCCCGGCTGGTGTTGGCACGCTCTCGCAGGTCAGTGAGGTTGGGGTGCTTCTTCTTTTTCCCTTTGCCCTTTTTGCTATACTTGGACGAGCCGAGGTCCACTCCTGTGGCTGCCTCCACATCCTTCATAAACTCAGGATCCTGCCAACCTGCACAAAACTTGAGGGTTTCAAAAGGTGCCTGGCACCAGCCAGGGCTGACCCTTGTGGGTTTCTTCCTGATGGAGGGCTGGAGCCTGCCTGCTGCATGCCCTGGTACATAGTCTAAGAGGGTCTGTGCTGAGTGACATGGCTACCTTGGGAATAAGAGCCACACAGGGAAATCTCTTTCCTTATTCCCACTGCCCTGCTTCTGTTACTTAGTCCCCAAGTATCCCGAGGTTTCCCACAACTTGAACAGGCTGGAAGGATCCAGGCAGGCCCAGCACCAATGGCCACTACTCCTGGCATTCATGACCACTCAGCAGGACAGTACTCAAGGCCACTGGCCATGGAGTCAGAGTGTCTACAGGCTACTTCCCACCTGCAGGCTGGGCCATGGCCAGCCAGGCCAACTGTAATGCTTTCAGCCATATCTGCTGGCTACTGGGCCTGTGAGGCAAGGGTATCCAGAGTTGAGGGGAATGGCAGGCTAGAGACGGGTTCTCTGGACACAGGAAATGTGGTTATGGGCCTCAGAGTGCAGAGCAGAGTTACCCCTCCTGTGAGCTGGGCACTACCCGTTATAATAGCCACAAGGGTCTATGGAAAGCCAAGGGAACTGAACAGTATCCAGCCCACTGAGCAGCCTCATCACTACCAGGCCAGACCCATGGCAAGATGGCTGCTCACATGCAGGGCTGCTGAGAAGGTTGGCCACAGAAATAAGCACCAGCCTTCTGAAAGCCAGAGCCCGGGGCTCTGGAGTTCCCTGCCCAGCCTCTGCTGGCTCACCTCCACAGGCTGCCCTAAGCTCTGTTAGGCATGACATTGCTCCAGCCTGGCTTGGGGAAGTCAGCCTAGTGAAGAGTGAAGACAAATTAAACCTAACTCTTCCAGGCCTGTGGGTGAGCCTAGCAGGCAGAAGGGCGCCTGGCACTCCTTACTATAATGGCATCCAAGTGCCAAAGATCCATGAGCTGGGGCAGCGTGGACAGGGAACAGTGCCTGGACAGGGTGGCAGCAAAGCCAGATTGTGAGAAGGGCACGTCCACTGAGTGAGAAGCAAGCACGCCAGACAGACAGATGGCTTGGCCTCTCCAAGCTGATTTTTTTTTTTTGAAGTGAAGGAACTCAGGACTGCACGATTCAGATACAGGGACGATTAATCCAAGATTAAGGAAAACTGTCTAAACAGTTTATCTCCCAGTAATAAGAAGGCGTCACAGTTTAGGAACCTGGTGAATGGAGCAATTGTTTAAACACAACGAAAAAATGCCGGCATCCAGTGGAGATGGAATGAGCACCTCAGGAAAATGAAGGAGCAATTTAAAAGCCTTTGAAGAAAATCAATAGATGCTGGGCTGTGCGGCCTTCCTGGGCGCTCAAGGGCCCCGGAGCACCGCGTGCATTGTCACTGAGGTTAGCACCAGGGAAAAGAAAATTGCCCCGTGTGCGAGGGAGGCGGGATCAATACTGCAGTTAGTAAAGAGATGCTATTTCACATCTGACTGGCCAGCACCGGGCTTGGCCCGTGGCCTGATACCTGTTTGTTAACAAGCCACCGAGGGCTGGAAAACTAGATACTCTTCAGGGTTGACACAAAAATAGGCACTTAATTTGCTCCTGCGTGTGAGCCACCAGGGAAGGTTTCTCCCGCAGATGAACAGGTCAGGCCCTCCCCACTGCTACACAACCCAGACATGTTTCTAGGCACAGGATGAAACAGGAATTTGTGTCTCAGGACCACAGGGCAAGAAGCCATGAAGGGCCTGTAGACATATCCCCATACAGAAGGGTCTTCCATGGCTGACCACAGCCTCCAAGTACATTTAAACACTGTCTGACTTTGACCACCCATGTAGATAGTGAGGTGAGTTGGAGCTGAGCAGGGCAAGTCAGAGCCAGCAGAGAAACCACATAGACTCTAGGTGACCATCTCAGGGGAGAGAGGCTGCTGCAATTCCTTCATCTGCTCAGGAAGCAGGAACAAGAACCAGAGCCTGGGGGCTGCAGCTTAGCGGTGGAGTGCTTGTCTAGCACATCCAGGACTCTGGGTTCAGTCCTACTGTGCAGATGTTGGTAAGGTGGTGGATGGAGTCAGGACTATCCACATTCCTGTTGTGAGCCTTGAAGACAAATACCTCACGCCATGTGTACCCAGCCCCTCCCGCATGCATTCCTACCTGGATGTGCCTGCTGCTGCTGAAACTGCTGCCTTTGTTCACGGGCTCTGTCCTCTGGGTTGAGGGGCTGCCCCTTGTCATCTCTGGGGATGATCTTCCCATGGAACGGGCACTATATAACAAGCACAAAGCAGTTGATGGCCAGGAGGTAACACAAATAGCTTTAGGGGACAGTGTCGTGAGGGGGAGCTCTGGGGAGCGGCAGCAGCAGGAGTTTGAGAACTCGGGTCTGTCTCCCCATTCTACCTTCTCCAAGCTCAGGACAGCCTGCACAGGGTTCTAGACGCAGAGCAGCAGTCTGACTGTTCTAATTAGTCTCTCAGAAGTCAGTATCAGGGCCCAGGGCAGAGAATCCCAGGCAGGATTCTCTGATGGCCAGTGGCTAAGCAATGATGCCACTGCTTATAAGGCCTCTTACACGGGGCTCCTCAGGGCTCTCAAGGATCCCTGGTATAGAATGGAGGCAGAGAGGACAAGCACTTCCCCAGGCCACTAGTGGTGGCCCGGCCTCTCCATGGGTTCATGCTTCTCCATAGCTTCATGCGGATAGCCTTGCCCACCAGCCTTACCTTTAGCCGATCCTGGCGCTCACAGAGCCTGCCATTAGGCTTCAGGGCCCGGCACTGGTGCTGCACAGGCTCAAACTTCCCTGCAAAGGTAATGTGTCGGCTATGCAGCATCTCAGAAACATGGGCACTGTCCACCTCCTCCTCTACCTCGCTGGGTTTCCAGAAGCGGTGTTGAGAGTCAGATCTGCAAGGTGCACCAAAACCTCTCAAAGTGGCTTCTCTGAACCCAGAAGAGGGTGTCTGGCCCAATCCCAATGCACCCCAACTGTATTGGGGAGAGCACTAGGCCCTGGTGGCCTTGAGGCCTTTGTGGACTAGAGAACACGATCACTCCAACTGGGTTCAAATACTGTTGTTTATGAACCAGCCAAAGATGGTGGGTATAACCACTAGCCTGAGCTTAGATTCTCCTCGCAAAGCAGGGCAGCAGCTCCAGGGCCCTCAGGCCATGGCTTTGAGGGTAACATGAATCCATGACAAAGGTCTCTTTGCCACTGAGTAGGCTCTGACACTGACATGGCACCAGAGGAAGAAGCTTGTATAAATTCATGCCCAGTCTTGATGCAGTGCTAAGGGACCCAAAGATGGAGCTTTTACTCTCTTGCCATCATCAAATCTTCATTTCCCTGCCCATCCCCCCAGCAGTGCTAGGGATTGAACCAAAGGCCTCATGCATGCTAGGCAAGCACTCAACCACTGAACTACAGCCCCAGTCCATCACCAAACCTTGTTAAAGCCACTTTTCTTTGGATGCCAGGGAATGGGGTTGGCTTTGTCACGCGGCCCCCTACCTAACACATGGCAGGATTCTATGGGCTCTGCACATGGATGCCAGCTGCCCCAAGAGCTGGCACCTCTGTTGATTGCTCAGAGATGGTGGGGCAAATGGTGGGCAGAAGAGTAACGTGCTCATTCGCTTTCTGCAACTTGAGGAAGAGCTGCGATGGCCAGAAAGGGTCTCAGGACTGAGCTTGCCCCTCTAGTCCCTCACACTGAGTAATGGATGAACTTCATGGGTACCTTGTGAAGAAGCAATAGCAAGGCTCAAGTACCAGTGTCCTAAGAGCCAGAGAACAGATATACAAGAGCACGCCATGCTCTGAGACCTGGGAACCAGATATAGTTATGTTAGACTCACTTAAGGATCTTTCCAGCCATTAGCTTCTCCTGGCCCCAGTAACACAGGTCCACTCCGAAGGGTACAATGGGTGCTCGGGCCCACTCTGCCTGCTTCTGGGCTTCCTCTGGCCCCAGAGGTACCCTGGAAACAGATCAGCACATGTGGGCTACCCATTCCTTGTGTGGCCACTTGCCTTTCCCTCCCACACCCCAATGTAGCCCAGAGGCCTGGGGTAAGCATGAATAAACTGTGGTGCCTGAGCTTTCAGAGTGGCTGCTGAGGTCCAGCAAACAACCTGGCCCTACTGAGCACTAGCTCTGGTCTGTGATGTGAACCTACCTGGGGGTGGGGGAGGGTCACCTGACATTTCCTTCAAGAATGGGGCCTGGCTGCAGGACTTCTAGAGGGCTGCTGCAGGCCCAGCTGAGCAGCAGGCCCCAGTCAACAGGTGCTACTTGTCTAGGGTTACCAGACTACCTCTCAAAGCAGGCCGGTGGGGGAGTTTCTTGGGCAGCCTGTGCAGGCCAGTCAGTGCTCCAAACGGGTGGCGGCAGTATTAGGCAGTGGGCCCAGCAACACGGGACATCTAGAATTACCCGGGAGAGGAGGATGAGGTGGATGGCAAGCATTCCTGGAGCCGCAACAGCTGGGCAGCTGCAGAGGTGGGGTCTGATGCCTCCTCTTCCTTTCTCATCCTTGTCCTCTCCTGTAAGCTGCACACAGCTGTGCCTTTCTCTAGAGTCTTCAGTGGGGCCCCCGGCTCCAGCCCTGGAATGACACGTGTCCACTTTCGACATCACTCTCCAAACCGGGGCAAACTGGGGAAGCACCATGTGGCCAGGCCTCAGATACACAGACACACGACACATTCACTCCTCAACAGCACAAAACATGCCTGTCACCTCAGCTTCGAAGATAGAGACCACACTCTTGTGCAGGGGACACAGGGCAATGACCCAGGCAGCCCAGCCTACAAGGACTGTCACAAGAAGCCTCCTCAGAGTTGTTCACAGCACGGACTGACAACATTGTCACCTTTGCCCACAGTTTCACACACTATGAGGATGGACTTTGTACTGGCTGGTTTTGTGCGTCAACTTGACACAAGCTAGAGTAATCAGAGAGGAAGGAGCCTCAGTTGGGGAAATGCCTCCATGAGATCCAGCTGTAGGCATTTTCTCAATTAGTGATCAATGTGGGAGGTTGCAGCCTATGGTGGGCAGTGCCATCCCTGGGCCAGTGGTCCTTGGTTCTTTAAGAAAGCAGGCCAGGCAAGCCATGGTGAACAAGTCAATAAGTAGGACTCCTCCATGGCCTCTGCATCAGCTCCTGCCTCCAGGATCCTATCCTGCTTGAGTTCCTGTCCTGACTTCCTTCAGTGATGAGCAGCAATGTGGAAGTGCAAGTCAAATAAACTGGCCCGCAACTTGTGTTTCGTTGCAGCAACAGAAACCCTAAGACAAACAAAACCTGCCATGCTATAAAGAGACTATCTAACTATAGTGTGAACACACAGTTCCCTTCCCCCAATACCGGACCCCCCCTTCACTGAGCAAGGAAGAGAGGAAACTAGCCTCTGTATGAGGGTGACTCTACAATTTATGCTGAGACTTAGTGGTACATCTTCTCCCCTGTACTGTCCTCAGAAGAAACACCCAAGGTTGTTCCCATCTTCTGCCCTAAACGTAAAAAGCCACAGGGATAGCTATAGTCGGGCCTGGGTTCTGTGACTGCAGCACCTTTTCTGTGCTGCGGGGCAGATGTCCCTGACTACAGGATGTCACCCTGGGATACCTGCCTACTACCAAGCTAGAGGAGGTCATGATGCTGACACCCGACATCAGGATTTCCACAGGCTATGGCAGCCGGTACCCACCACAGCTCAGTATCTACTCTCACATCTCCAGTGGCAGGATCCTGCCACTTTACTCCCCTTCCTGCCCACTCTCGGGTCTGGCTCTCAGGAGGTTGCACGTGGGGCGAACTCTGACCCTTGCTGGTCCCAGAGCACAGACTGAAGTGGGACTCCAGAGGCACTACCCACTTGTTACCCCCACTCCTCACATTCACTGTGGGAGCAACCTCAGCTGGATACCAGCCCTGCTACCAGTGAGATCTGCACTGGCAAAAAACAAAACAAAACAAAAACAAAACAAAACTCAGGCTTCTAAGCACTCTGCCCCCAAAGAGAGAGAACAGGTGATGCGCCATGTTTTAGACGAGGCTGAGATGGGGAGGACTGTAGCCAGCAAAGCACCATGCAGCAGTCAGAAAAGAAAGGTGTTGAAGACATCTTTCATCAAAGATGAGGAGCAGGGGGCTGGGGAGCTGGCTCAGCGCTGAGCACTGGCTGTTCTTTCAGAGGACCCAGCTTCAATCTCCAGCACCTCATGACAGCTTACAACTGCCTGATTCCAGTGCCAGGGCCCTGATACCTTCTTATGGCCTCCTCAGGCACTAGGTACACACATGGAACACCAACATACAGGCTGGCAAAAACCCATACACATAAAATACAATTTTTTATAAAGGATGAGGAGCAGGAAATGCGGCAGAACAATAACTACTTGTGTGCCTGAAGGGCAGAAGGACATCGGTGGTGTGCATGAGGAAACTTGCACAGCTCGGAGGTGGGAAGGGCAGGTTTCTGGAATTCCAGAGGAAATAATAATTGGAGCATGGGAAATAGTTGAAGAAATGAGCAAGTTTTTTTGAAATTAAGGAACGTGCTGCCTGCCAGAGGAAGCAAAGGGGCAACTATGGCTGGAAGAGGGAGTTAGAGAACATTAAAGACAACAAAGAAAAAGGTGAGCTGAAAATTACATTGGAAGCAGCACTTTCGGCTGCAGCAGCAGCAGCAGCAGGTTTAAGGCCTTGCAAGGTCACCTTGAAGGGTGCAGGGAAGAGCTGGGGATACAGTGTTGTGGCAGAGCATGTACCTAGTGTGTGCGAGGCTCTGGGTCCCATATTCAGTACCACAAAAACCAAAAAAGTAAAAAAGTACATAGGAGGAAGAGCGAGCTCACAGTTGATTAGCCTGAGCTGTCAAGCCCCCCACAGGTACAGGAAGGGGGTCTTGTGGACCCAAGGCCTTACAAGGACCACCACTTGCAGACTCGATAAGAACACCCTTAGGCCGGATGGTGGTGGCGCACGCCTTTAATCCCAGCACTTGGGAGGCAGAGGCAGGCGGATCTCTGTGAGCTGAGGCCCAGCCTGGTCTACAGGAACCAAAAGCTATGGAGAAACTCTGTCTCGAAAATCAAAAAAAAAAAAAAAAAAAAAAAAAAAAAACCCTAAGAAAAAGGGTCCCCCAAAAAAAAAAAATTAAAAAAAAAAAAAAAAAAAAAAAAAAAAAAAAAAAAACACCCTTAGCATAAGTGGTCCACCAAGAAAAGAAATTTAAATCACAGGTACAAGACAAGATAATGATGAACAAATGCCTTTTGACATCAGAACACTAACTCAGTGGGTACCAGGGTACCAGGAGGTAGGATAAGACAGTCCTTGATCACCTGACTTATGCAGAGGAGAGGAGAGAAACCATAAAAAAATTAGTGAGTGAGGGGCTAAGGGCTGGCTGGTGGTAGAAAGCATGCCTAACATGTGTACAGCCCTGGGTTCTGTCCCCAGATCCATAAATGGAAGCAATGAGTGATAAAAATACGTGAATCATAAAATTAGAGATAGCTATCAGAAGGGCACAGAGATACATTTTTTAAGAAGAGAAAAGGCAAACAGTAACTGCAGCAGCAAAGCCAGAAAGGTGCTCAGTTCTGAGCACACTGAGGAGCGCCCATCATGTGAACTAATACAGCTATGAGCACACAGACTGGCACATCAAACGTGTGCAGCTAATACATAGCTACCGCAAGGTCAAAAGGAAAAGCTAATAAACAATCAAAAGACAGCCGAGAAAACGGGTTAATATCAGGAAAGTAGATTTGAAGTTTAAAAAATAGAATAAAAGAAAAAAATACTCAAAGGTCTGATAAATGGAGCTGTACCTAATAGCCAAAGTACAAGCTGGGCCTCACTTGTCATCCAGAACTTGGGGCACTGAGGTAGGAGAATCTCAAAGCCAAGGCCAATCTGGATCTAAATCAGGAAAAAATTTCATTAAGAAATGCTAAGTCTGTTCATTAATTTCTAGATTCAAGGTGAACGAGTGTTTTGGGGTATATGATACAGGTATGTGATTGCAGGACCTGGGGAGGATTTCAGCTGAAGGCAGCTTGAACTCAAAGCAAGACACTGTTTCTAAAACCAGACCAAATGAAGTCTAAGCACACAAAGAGACATCCATTAAGGCAGACCAACACACTGTACCTGAGGTCCTTGGGAAGTCAAAGTCTACAGCTCTGAGGGGGTCACAGCACTAAGTCACCAGAGTTCTGGACTCATCATGGGCTCGCCGTAGCAGAGGTCAGCCTGACATGGCACAGAAACAACCAGCTGCTCCTCAGGGGCCCTGGAGGCAACAGCCAAATCAGCCTCACTGCCTGTTTTAATGACAGAGTTTACTGGTCCTAGCTATGGCCATCTGGAATGGAACTAAACAGGGACCTGACGCAGTCCAGAAAGCCAAAATATTTCCTCAGTGGCCCTTCATAGAAACATCTGTTGTCTCTGCTCTGGTATAGCTATGCACAGTTAAGGGCTCCTATCTCTTGGAGACTCATGAGTAGGGAACAGAAAACTTGGGCAGGGTCACTCTGAGCAGATAGCGGAGTCATAGTCAGCTACCTCCAGGCTCTGGAGCTCTGCAGTCCTAAGATTTGGGCACACTGTGTGTCAGAAGACACCAGGCAGCCCCTTCTCTGCTCTGTCCTTAAAAACAGCGTCCAAGGTTTGGGTAGCAATCACTTCCATGCGACCTTCAGCATTTCCCATCACAATGTTCCCGGCCATGTGGAAGGCAGCAGTTAGCCCAGCCCCGCATACATACATACATACATACATACATACATACATACATACATACATACGCAGCAGGGAGGCAAGGCTGGTAAGTGAACAATGTGGCACTTAGATAGATACAATCGCAGCCGAAAGATCAATATGAGAATTCCTAAGAGTTACAAGAATGAAATATATTTTTCATTGATTTGTTGTTTTAAACCATTAAGAAGATGGGTAAGCGTGTTAGAGCAGGGTAAACACTCAGGCACCGAACACACCACTGTTTTCACGCCATTGAGGAAAATCAATCTCACTGACATATTTCCAAAGTTAAAACCCCAAAAGCAGAGCCCACTCCTCAGGCCAGAGGGCGTGCAACCCTAAAGGAATGAGACATCATCCTGCTGACCACCGTGGCCCTGCGGCCTTGCAGGGCCTGACTCCAGTCCCTTGGCCAAAATTTACTCCCACAGTTGTTTTAGAAAGAATCATAAAAATGTCCAAAGCTCCCTTTTTTGTTTAAATTGGCCGAGTGGCACCTATTTGCCTGGAGCACTAAAGCAGACAGTGCGGGAGAGATGGATCGATAGGAGGAAATGGAGAGGCTGGGGCTCCGCACAAAGTTAGGCTGCTGCGCTGACATTATTGATTTTACCTAGTTCAGCTGGCCTTGTAATTAAAATGTAAATTTGAGAAAGAGATTATGTCCTGACAGAAATGGTAGGATTAAGGGGAAGATAAAAGCCCCTCAGTGAAAATTCTGAGGAAGAAATGAGAAAGAAAAAAGAGCCTGATTTCCTCAGCCGTGTGGATTTAGACTGAATCTAACACTTCAGATTCGCCCGTGTTTAATTGGAAAAACAGTGATGGACTATAAACTAGTATTATGAACTGAGCTCATTGCGCACTGTCTGTCTGTCTGGACACTCCAGCCTAGGCTGCTGGCTTAGTTCCCAGGACTCCCGGGGGAGGCTCCATTTGGTGCAGTGATGGGGGCTTCCCATTTTCCATCCCTGCCACAAGTCCTGCCCACGAGGCTAGTGTCCTTCTTACCCCAGCACCTCCTGTGAATGCTCCAGAATCATCAAACGTTCTAGGTGTGTCATGTTCCCTGGCCTCAAGTGCCCACCGACCCTTCCTTGGTTCCTGTGGCCCTCAGCCCCATGGTGGCACTGATGGCCAGATTGTGGCTGCTGTAGGTCTACCTGTACACCTTGCCAGCCCACCCAGCCTCTACCATGTTTTCCACTTGATGTCATTTTGAAAACACAAAACAACAACTGGTTCAGACCACATGGGTCACTACTGCCTTCCAGGTTTAAACCAGATGCCTAGAGCCTGTCCAAGAAGGGACGAACTACAGACAATGATGCAGCCACGAGGTCTCTGCCTTCCTGTTAGGCTGGGATAAAGTCCCTCACCAGCTTTGTAGGCCCTTCCATGGCCAGGAGTGCATGGAGGGCTCTGAAGAAAAGACACGGGCTGATGGGCACTGGGTGCAGGGGCTATGGGCAGTGTAGTTATTGCTGCTGTGTAACAAATAACTAAACACCCAGTAGTGGAGCCAACAGTATTCTACTGAAAATCATGAGTATTCCACACTAGAACACAACTCTGTTGTGGGGCCTGGGCCAGGCTGGGGCGACCATGAGTAGATGTGGGTTGTAACTGATGTGGGTTGTAAACCAGAGCCACTTACAATTCCCTGTGCAGTCAGTACTCACATAGCCTCACAGCAGGTAGCCTGTGGCTGTGTCCAAGCAAGTAATGTTGGGAGATGCTTCAAAGTATTTCTCAATTCAGCCTCCTTTGCTGGGCTCAAATGGCCAGCAGTCACAAGCCATCCAGGTACAGGTAGACACAGGACAGTCTCCAATAGGAGGACTACAGGCTTTGCTCTAGCCCTGTCAGTGTCCACTGGTGGCTGAAAAGGGCTTCATTGTGTGTATCTAGCTCCTAGAGGGGACACGGAGTCAGCATCTGTGACAGAGGCTGCTGTCCTCACTGGCACCATCACTGGCCATTCCCAATCCACAGCCCAAAGACATCCTCTCCGAGGATGGTAAGAATCTGTTTTGTTCTCAGTGTTGGTGTGTCACTGCTGGCCCTACTACATGTGTCCGGGAGCCACTCAAAGTCCGTGTAAAGTCAGACTTACCACATCTACGGGAAGGATACAAATGTCAGAATAAAATGCAGAGAACAAAAGTAAAAAAAAAAATGCTGTTGTGACCAAGAGCCCTGGATCAGTGCTGGCTCCCAGGCTCCCCTGAAGAACCCAAGAGTCTCCCAGCTTAAGAAGAAAAGTGTGGCTTCCAAAGAGGGCAGAAGGACCATGGTCCATAGTTAGGTGCTACTCATACTGCCTGGACTGTGAGTAGTGTCCCTGCCTCACCTGATCTCACAGCCCACTGTTCTAGACTCTGGTGGCCTCAGATGTAGCCACAGCCATACCAGCACCTTGCTAGACCAGGGCCTCATCCAGCTGAGGATAAAAGAAATAGGGGGCAAAGACCACCCTGGGCACAGGAGGGTGGCCTTGTCATCCCATGGTATGCCTGAAGCACTTTTGGGTACCCCAGGTGTCAGGTGTGGCACTTAGCTGTGACCACATGGTATCTCTACTAGGTGAAAACGTAAGTTAGGAGAGGGTGAAAGCCATTTCAGGTAGAGATGGGTACTTGGAGAAGCGTGTGGGTGGAGGAGGCTCATGGGTCATGGATTGCAGGCTGAAGAATCCCATGAGAGCATTGCAAGGCTGAGGCCTGGAGAAAGGGTATACACAGCTCAGCAAGGCGCAGGAGAGGCAAGCAGGTATAAGAGGGGCAGTTCAACTAAGCAGGGAACTTTTCATGGGGCGTTACAACACTGGGACTCCTTCCTGCAGAGTGGGCCAGGCCAGAAGATGCTTAGCTAAGGGGTCACCAGTACCCCCTTAGTGTGGGAGGTTCCTCCTGACAGCCACACACTCATTGACCCCGAAGCGCCAGCCTGCCCAGCATATGGCTCTGGGAAGAGGGCTGGGAAAGTGGAGAGGGGTGAGTCTGCCCGGGTTAATTTGGCATGACGCCCCAACGGGTCATGTCTAAATTCTCTTGCTAAATTCAAATTCTACCCCCACAGAAGCCAGGATACTTGTTTGTCTTTGCTTCCTTTTGACATAAGCGATGCCATAACCAAGGGTGTGACCTGGGTCCTGGATCCCCTTTAAGTTTCTCTCTGGAGGGCACAAGCCTAGGACACAGAGTGTGGCTTTTAGAGTTCTTGGAAAAGAGAAAAATCTTAGATGGGACATTCCTGTCTGTCACAGTGGTGCTGTGTGCGACAAGCTGATTCGTGCTATGGGGTTCAGACAATGCGGGGTCAGAGGCCACGTCTGTGACTTCAAAGACACAAAGGGATGTTTTGCATGGTATCTGCCTCCCCTCCACCCTGGTACAGGTCCTATATAAGCAAAGGCATCCCCATAGACTGCACCCTGTCCCACAGTCAGAGCATCAGATGGCCCGGAAGACCTTGTGTGATGGAAGCCTGCCATGTGCTGGCCCCTGGGGGGCTCGGGGCACAAAAGAAAAACTCCCCAAGTTAAATAAAGCAACAATTACTGATACAACAGCTGTACAAGGGAAGCTGAAGGCTAAGCTCCCTGTGTTGATGTTACAACCCAGATGGGGGACTTGTCTCCCCCGTACCCCTGATGCCCAGTCTTGCCCCTCATTTGCCCACAGCTCACCATATTCAGCCCGGAGGTGGTCAGGGATTCGAGGTTCATAACCTTCTTTCTCTGGGACTTCCACAAAGTCCTGGTCCTCATCCTCGCTGTCCTCCAGGGCTTCTGTCTGCAGACACATCCCAAGCACAAATGAGGTCATCAGCTCTAGACAACAGCAGTTGGCCGTGGACTGTGTGCAGGCGCTGCTTCCCATAGGGTTGTCTCTCTAGTTTAGGACTTCACCATCAGATGATGGTGGTCTTTAATTACAATATCTCTAAGGCTGTTCTTATTCTTAAATCACAGTGCCTTTTCTTAGCTCCTACCTGGAGCCATTCCCTAATCACCACCAACTCTCTTGTGCCTGTTGCAGTGTGCACCGCCGAGCACTTGCACAGCTGCCCCATCCCCAGTAAGCAGGCAGCGGAGCCTCAGTTAATGCTGTGCCAGCCCACCTACAGCTCTGCCATGCCCAAGTAAGCCACCAGGGACACAGGTCATAGCACTAGCTATGGCCCAGACTCCCTGCTCCTCCAATCTCACCGCAGAAACATCCTCTGATGATGTTCTTCCTGCCCTACCTCCCAGTGACCTCATATTCTTCCAGAGCCTTCCACACCCAGGATAGAAACCCAACCTTCCTCCATTGCCCACCTGTCACACTAGGGGACCAGGCTCAGCTAACCAGGACAAGGAGGTCCATGCCCCTAGGGATATAATACCCCTCAGAATGTGGTGGCCCCTTGAGCTGTGATGCCCCTGGAATGTGCCCCAAGTTTCAAAGCCCTTGCAGCTTCCAAATCTCCAGAGCAATTTACTGGACATGGTGGTGCCCACCTTTAATCTCAGCGCTTATCTGTGTATGAAATGAAGGGGAATGTACAAGGGCTGAAATAAAGAGAAGACTCAATTGCCCTAAGAATCCATAGAGCCCTAACTGACCATCAGGAGCTCTGCATTGAGTATCCATCAATGTCTGAGAGTGGACTGGGCTGTTGGGAGGCAGGGGGATCTCTGTGAGTTAGAGGCCAACCTGGTGTATGTAGAAAATTCCTGGACAATAGAGAGACCCTGTGTCAAAATACAAAACAAAACAAAAACCAAACCAATCAACCAACCAAACAAAAGCTCCAGGGCAGAGTTGAGGCAAGTGAATGCCAACTAGTGGGACCCTTATAGGGTTTTAAGAAAAACTTTGAAAAACTTTTTAGAAACCATTTCCAACAGAAACTTTGAATTCAGAGATGTTTCCCATGGTCCTGTCTATCTCCTGAAGGGAGGAAGGACATCTAAAGAGTAGCTTCTACTCTTAGGTCAGGAGCCACATGCACTGGAAGCCAAGCTGTGCAAATGACAGCCACCACGGAGGCATCTACAGCAGCACCTGCCTAAGGCATAGCTCAGCACGTTGCCCGCCCAGGTAGAGCCAAGCTCCACCTTGGGGCTGCTGGAGCCATCAGCAGCCACATCTGGCCGTGCCTGTTGGCCCCATGCCCCAGTCTGGGCGACTGCTGCCCGAGAGAGCATAATCAGATGCAAATGCACTTTGTTTTGGTGCAGCCCACAGTCGTGCATCTGGGAAGCACGGGAGACATTAATCATCGGAAACTGTAATTTTTGTTATCAGTCTAACACTGATCAAAAGGGAAGCCTGTCTCCACCGCTGACCTGTGAAACGTCCCAATTATACTCTTTGGAAATGACAGGGGCACTTAACTCCCGCGCTGAGCAAATGACGACGATCAATCACGTTTGAATAACAATGAGCCACGGACCTGAAAATTATTTTTGTATAGAATCTACCCAGGAATTTATGAAAGGTGGAAAGCAGCCCAAGGTTTTAGGGCATTACGGGCTCAGCTAGTGCAGTGCGTATCAAACACTAAACAGAATTTATGTGTTTTAATTTTCTAAAAGGTAGATGTGGGCTGGGTGCTACAATGCATAACATATAGTGCCAGGTTTTAAATATGGGGGTCATTTTCATAAAATATTATGCTTATTGCTCACACCCTTGAATTTTGCTGGGGACTTTTTATCAAAATTGCATTCCCTAAAAATATTCAACTGCTTAGGTAACTATTAGAATTTTATCTTCTTCCTCCCCAACTAAATCGTTTATTTTTAAGATTAAATTTGAAGCACTGGCTTCTTTCTTGTTCTTAAATTAGTACTGATAAGGCCTCTGGCTGTCTGCTCTTCCACTGTATGCATTTGCCTTGAAAAGACCCAGGCTTTCTCTGGGGTCACAGAGAGATGCCAGTCATTTCTATACTTGACTCTGCAACTATTCGAAGATGGGGTCCTCACGCTGCAACAACTGGAATCTAGAGATGCCACCACTAATACGTAAGTGAGACTAACATGAAGTCTGAATCTACATTTGGTAAATACCAATAATGCAAATCCTTGGTGCCAAAGTTACCAAGGACAGCAGACAGATGGGCCACACCTGAGGGACGGGAAATTACTCTGATGTGGAAAACCTCAGAGCCCTAGCCGTTGGGACACTCCTGTGACCTGCTCAGGAGTCTGGCCACAAGGGACAGTACCCTGGAAAGGTAACACAGCCCAGAGGGGAGAAGGCCTTCATGGGATAGTCTGGAACCTCAGGTGACCAGCCTCCACTCACTATTTTAGAATCTCAAGAGGTCATGACCACTGTGGTAGTAACCTGCCTCTAAGGTCACATGGGAGGTCAGACAGAAGGCAGTATCCAGAGAGGTCTGGAGAAAACAGCTGACCGCCAAGGGTCCTGGGAAAGAGCTCACATCTGGTTAAAAAAAAAAAAAAAAAAAAAGGCGTCAGGACTGGTAATATCTTCAAAATGAGGCCAGACTTTTGAAATGCTCTCAAGAACAATTTACTCTTATCCCAAGTGAGGGCCAAGTTTTCTAGTTTGGGAAAACAATATAACACAAACTGCATGAAGCCAGGGGAAAGACCAATCCTTAATGAGATCTGCACATGGGAGCCACACATCAGCACAGGGGATTTTCTGACAGGTGAAACCCTTGGGTGCCTTTGAGGATAGGGTGGTGGTCAGAAACCCTTCCAGCCAATCAGATCCTTCTCCCAAGCTGCACCCCCTGGTGGGAGCTACAGATCCCTACAGAGGGCCAATTCAGCCACCCACAGGATAGACACAAGCTTTTACCCACTACTGTTGCCATGGTGGGGGCACTGCTGGTTTTATACAAATTGATTCTCACCCACGGTTAAAAGGATTTAGAAAAATGAGTCGTCATGATCATAATTAAACAAGCAATAAAATGGCTAAAATATACAACGCAATCAGTTTACAGAAGTAGGGTGGTGAGTGCTAATTATTTGCGAAGGGATGGGAAGAGCATCTCAACATCCAGAAAGCCATGGCCGCCAAGCCCACAGCCTAGAGATACAGCTGAGACCATTAAATAAATTTTGTACGATCTAATTAACTTGGTGCGCAATCTCAATTACTTTTCACCCAAGAAATCACTTTTGTTCAGTTTTATGTGTGTCTATTTCCCTTTTAAAAAAAAATGATGTAAGGCCTCGTCAGACAAGTGAGTTCCAAACTGCATTTGTCTTTCAGCGGCTTGATGGCTATGCATTTAAAAACCCATTCTATCTTATAAACTAAAAATTAAACGTGCTCAGCTGTGATGGCCGTCATTGCATCTGCTATTTATATGCTAATGCCCTCCCTGGAAGGCCGTGCAAATTGCCCGGCCAGGCCAATATCTCATGTGCATCTCGGCTGCCAGGGACGCACCTTCAGAGGACAGAGGGTGTAGTGGTGCTCACCACGTGATAACACAGAACAGGCACCTGGTGGTCACTGAGTCAAACCTGCCCAGATGCAGGCAGGGCACTCGAACACATGCTCAAGTCCAAACATTACGCTGGAGCAAAACTTCATTTTCTGGAATGACCGTTTCTATAGAGGCCACATCCACAAGGGATCTCACAATAGCACTGCAGGACACACAGGGATGGGCATTTCTCCTCCTCCTCTCCCCTGATCTGAAACAGTGTGGAACAGTCCACAGAAACCTGCCCTTGAGAATCCAGTATACGCAACAGCTCCAGTACCAGGGAGCTTCCTGGAACGGGGGCTCAAGAGCTGAGTCTAGCCTGCTACAAAGCACGAGGCAAAGAGCCTTGGTGTGCCTAGAATGTGCCTGGAAGTCCATTTCTAGAGCAAGGCTAAGACTAATAATCTCTGCTGGATCCAAACAAGCAGCTAGTCAATCAAACTGAGGCCTGGGAGCCTAGGTGGACACAGGCCAGGTGCTCTGGGTTTACAGTGCTCCTAATGGGTATTCTCAAACCAGCTTCTCTGGGCACCCACATACACATGCTCCCAATGACAAGGTTGTGTGAGTGGTGCAGAGGCAGGGAGAGTTATCATGAATGAGGTTATGCGAACTCCACACATTAACATCCAATGAAGTGTGAAATCACTAATCATTCTTCCCAGGAGTGTGCAGAGAAAGCCAACCACACAGGGGAGGAGTGCGTCCTCACAGCTAACACTTGCCAGGATTGGAAGAGGGCCCTCCTCGTGCCTTGGCTGCCATCTCAGGTGAAAGCAGGTGGCCAGCCTCTGGGAACATGAGGCCAAGCTATGCTGTGTGGCCTGTCCCAAAGGTGCGGATGCCATAGTCATCAGACAGCCTTTCCACTCTGCATCTGGGTCTTTAGGAGGGGCCAAGATCAAACAAGTTCCTCCAGACTGCTTTCTCATCTGTGAAATGGAGGAAATACTCCTGGAGCTAAAGAAACAACATATGAGAAGGTACTGAGAGCTAGTTCATTCTGGAAAGACAAATGATTGGGCTGGACACTAGAGCCAAGACCAGATCCATGAAGTAGGGCGTGGGAGAGTATAGGCTGGTGAACAGGCTGCGGAGCCGTTTTCTCCCACCCCTGTGAGCATAAGAACTTATGCTCACAGCCCTCCCCACTCCCTGCTGCTGGGCGCGTGCCTGGCCTTCAGGGTGACGGAGGGAACACAGCATCGAGAAGGCTGTTTACGGGCCCTGCTGCTGCACAAGGTCCCGCAAAGGCTGATTTAGTTTCCCTGCTTTCCCCGGGTGTGCCTGACGGTTCAACATTTCATTCCCCGGGTTTTCTGCCTCT